AAGCCAGCTCTGGGCGGGATTCAGAAAGTACCCCGGAGCACTGCCTTGCACCCTTCTCCCCTGGTTCAAATGTGAAAAGTTTAATTTGCCATGAAACAAAGACACAGTCCTGAAATCGCAGGTGAACTCTGACAGGTGTTCCCTGTAATCTCATTAATACTGGACAAGAAGTCAGCACCACATTAATCATTAGCCAATTGTTGAAAATTAACTAATGGTCTATAAGGACAGTCGTGGAGTCCTTACTCATTGATTTACTCTTTCGACATGCGTTTCCTGATGCGCCTACTATGTGCCAGGAGCAGACCTACCTCCGCAAAGCTACATCCCTGAGCCAGACTCCATTTCCAGCCTCTATGGACTCCTGTTACAGCTTCCTTCAAACTCTATTAACTAGTCAACCAAACGGCAGGCTGCATACCCCCAAAGCCGTGTGCAGAACCCCTGCACGCAAAGTGCTTCCCATCACAGCTACTGAACAGAGTAGACGGTGGGCAACAGCTATAAATAGGAAAGTGTACCATGCTGGGCAGAGTCCAGGGAGGAAGCAAGTACATAATGGGCAGAGAGGGCAGGAGGCAGAGAGTGTGCAGGGGTCAGGGAAGGCCAAGCAGAGGAGGAAGCCCTTGAGTTGTCCTGGAAGAACAGCTACAAGTTAGGCATGCTGCACTACATAAGAAGTTCAACCCGAGTGGAAACAACAGAGCAAAGATCTACGTGGGTATTAGCTCTGCATTCACCGAGCCCACAGCCAGGTTCTGTGACTTCTGGTGCTGTATTATACCTCACTCTACAAAACACACACACACACACACACACACACACACACGGGGGGGGGGGGGGGGGATCACAGTGCCTCATCCCACAGCATCCCTGGCCACTGGGGGGGGGGGGGGGGGGAGCGATCACAGTGCCTCATCCCACAGCATCCCTGGCCATTGTGGTATACCCAGTCCCAATGACAAGTATCTGCACCCCAGAACAGCTTCTCGGAGGGGTCCCTACCACTATCTGCTACTTGGAGCCGTGGAATCGGAGCCGCAAATGTGTAAGAGCCCTGTCTCTGATTTCATCTCGGAGAGCTCCTAAAAGAGTCCTCCGAGAGGCCTGTCACCCAAGAAAATGCTCAATGTGACTCAGAGAAAGGACAGGGCACTCCAGAGAGGCACTGTTCCTGAGACACCCACTCACTTGGCAGTCCCAAACGTTCACTTACTGAACATCTACTACGTACCACCGTGCCAGGCATGGGTCAGGGAGCTGCAAGTGGATCACTAAAGACAAATCGCTAAGTACCACGAGAGAAAGGCTCAGCTAAGATTGTTCAAGTCTTCAGATCTGGGTCAGCAAAGATGTCGTACAGGAACCTGTGCTTGAGATTATTAAGCAGCTACATGGAGTCATCTCAGGGGAGGAACACAGTACAAGAAAAAGACAGGAAGTGGACAAGCAGAAGAGAGGTGCCCTTGGGGGTTTGGGGTGAGCAAACGGAGGAGGTACAGCTGAGGAGCAGAGAATGGACCAACAAAGGCTAGGTGGCCCCAAGCCACGGTGTTTGGCCTCTCCTCAATGGGCAATGGGAGCCACAGAAGCGTCGGGGTCACTCCAGAAAACCATCTGATAGTTTGGGGGATGAAGAGGAAGAGGATGATGGCAGGAATTTTACAAAGGTAAAACACCAACACCATAAAAATACAAACATGTGAGCAAAATGAAGACGAAGAGATGGGCAAACTTGTTCGGCTTAAAAACTTATTTCATGAGACCTGGTCTGAGAGAGGCCCTCTGCTAAGCAGAAAGGCACGGAAGCTGAGTCATGGAGAAGCCAGGCCCTCCCAAGGTGCCAGGCCAGACAGCATGGGTGCTCTGCATGGGTAGGTGGGGGTCCCCCTTTCAGACGACTGGAGTATGGCAGAGAGGTGAGAGGCAGCCTGTGGGGGAAGAGGGCCGGGGACAGTCACACAGACTCATGTCCACTGTTCAACCACATCAGTTTGCCTGTGGGAAACTGAAATCTGGAGCATGAATGAAGTAAAGTGTGTCCACTCTGGGGAAACGGACCTTTCGATCATCCCCACTCCGACACCTGACACAGAAGAGCTTCTCTCTTTGGTGCCAGCAGGAAGAGAAAGGAAATGATACACACTTTCTGTGGAAGGGAGGAAGTACTGCTACCAGGAGGGGTATTACGTGGGAACCCAGTGAGCCGCTCGGTTTCCATGGCTTCAGCCTCCACTCAGCAAGTCCACCAATGAAAGCTGCATAGAGACTTGCTGTTCATGCTTAAAAAAAAATAACAAGAGTAACACTCTAACCCTGGGAAAACTTGTTGCCACTAAGGTAGTCTCCAAGTCCCCAACGCTGGGTGTGTTTACACACAACACAGGCCCAACACAGACTGGACCCCAGGGGGATGGTCACATTTCTTAACTCACGAAAGTATTCATTTCCTTCACGTGAAACAGGCAGACACATCAGCCATCGGCCAGCCCTGTCTCTCAGTCTAAGGACTTGTCACACATAGTCTCACCAAAGGCAAAGAAAACGGCCAGAGCCCCGCTCCATCAGCTTTGCAACCCACGTCGGCCTCTGCCCTTTGCGTTGTCACTCACATTAAATGAAAGGTATTTACTACCGATGAAAAAGAAGCTTTGCTCAGCTGCCTCTAAACCCATCCCAAAAATAGAGCAATCGCTTCGGTCCAAATTGGGTCAAATGTATAAAAAAATAAAAAAAATTTAAAAAACCTGACTCCCTGGTGGGAGGACAGACAGGGGACCTTGCTCAGAGTCAGGGGGAAATCCACCAAGATCCTCCCTTCCCACAGCGGGAAAGGCAATGTTTCAAGTCAGACACAGTGTATAAACGCCTCTGACCACGTGACGTCCAAGTGGAAGCGAGACAGGGACTTTAATGCCCGGAGTCTGGGGATGCTCAGTGAAGAAATCAAAGGAATGTTTATCTATTGGTTTTTTAGAAAGGCTGGCCAGCTAATACACGACCCACCTCCAGTCAGAACAAGTTCAGTACTTCAGAACTACCCAGAAAGCACCCACTAGGAAGGGCTATAGGGGAAGAGGGGAGATTTAGCTATTTCCCTCATATTGCATTTGCTCACTTCTTAGCTGAGACGTCCAAATGGTCTGGCACTTCTCTTAGTGTCCTGAATTTCCTCAGGAGGAAGCAAATCTGAATATTAATTGGCTTACGCATTCAGCTACATTAATTATTCCACTGATCTAAATTAATCTGCCATTCTGAAAGGTATTTATTTTCTAAGTTTGTTTAATCATTTCTCTTGAGCTACAGAAGGCAACAAACTGGGTCACCATTCACGTCGTTAAATTTGGTAACAAGGCTGACACCATCTGTGGCCTAGACTACGATGACCCATCCCCATGGATGGAGGCTTTCCGCCACTTCCACTTTCCCTTTTCAAAATGATAATCTGAAGTCTACAACTGAACCAAAGGCCATTTAAAACGTCCAAAGTCTCACAGGTAATCTCTTACAGAAGAGGGAGGGAGGGAGTTAGGTGTGTGTGTGTGTGTGTGTGTGTGTGTGTGTGTGTGTGTGTGTGTGTGTGTGTGTGTGTGTGTGTGTTCATTCTTATTAGGCCATAGTTTTCAGGAGAAACAGCCAAAATTTTTAATTCTTTAGAAAGCAAACTGCCAAAACCCAAAATACAAACAGACACCATGTTACACCTGAAATATACACCGCATTTAAAATGTCATAAGAAATCCTGAACATAAACCAGGAAAGCCAAATTCATAAAAACATAGCTTCCCCTCAGGCTGCCAGCCAAGCTCTGCCTGACCAGGAAAAGCCTAGTGCATACAGCATTCTTTGCCCGGTTAAAATGCTTCCCCACCACAATCCAAAGCAAATGGAACCAACTAAAAGAGGAGCTGAGCTTCCTGCTACCCAGAATTCCCTCCTTCGTCTACCATTCCACATGGCTTCTGATTGTGAAGAATTAGCCCTTGGGAAAAAAAAAACTGAAATGGCTTCTGCATTAGAGAAGAAAGACAACAGAATGTCGCAGGTTTTTAAATAATCCTAGTGATCTTAGCCAGTCTCCTTAACTGCCAGGTGGGTGAATGGTAATGTAGAAAGGTCTGGGATGTGTCCCTGCATGCGCCCAGTGGGCAGCTGAGTAGAACAAGATCCAAATTTCAACCCAATGTACTTCAGTGCCTTTCTTTTTAAAAACTCTATCAACTTTTCCCAAAAGGAAGTTCCGTGAAATACTAGTTCCATGATATCAAAGTCTTCTGCCAAAAAAAAAAAAGCTCAAAGAATGCATAACCAATTACTTTCAGTGACTAGCTGAGTTAAACAAAGTGAAATCTGCTTTTTAACTGCACAACTTCCCAGAGATTTTTTTTCTCAACTCATGTACACAATAAATTTTTAAGAGGGCAATAAAGTATATGGAAACATCCTGGAGCATTTAACCACGATTCGTTCTAAAATCTACTTGGAGTATTTTTGTAGGCCATGGGGTATAAACTCCACTTTCATACTGATTCAGTTCCCAAATTGTATTCTATATAATTAGGTTTATTGTATTCTACATCTATAAAAATTAATAGTTTACATGCAAAATCCATGATAATTCTTATCTACCAGGAAAATTAACCACAGTATCCACTACTCAAAAACAACACTAGAATTCTTAAAAGCTAATATTATGTACCAAAAGCCTGTGCAGAGAGAAAAGTTATTTTAAAACCCTTCTACGAATTTCTTCCATAAAAGTTCCATCTCTATTTATATAAGACTCATGACTTTGAACACTTTCATTCAGCATAAACCTAAGAATTCAGGTCAAACCTAAAAACCAGTAACAACAACACAGCCCCACTGTTACAAAGCTTTGGAAAACACAGCGTACATAACTGTAAACTATACCATGCACAAAGCTGGCTGCCAGCTTAGGTACGAGGCAGGGGGTAACTGTATACCATCGCAAGAAGGAATTCTAAGTCACTTACCAAGTTATGATTTGTTGAATTAGAATCATCTTCAGGGAATGGGATGTAAATAGCTAAGGCCACACAATTGGCAAAAATAGCCAATAATATAAATATGTCAAATGGTCTGAAAGTTTTTGTTAAGGAATATAGGCATTATGCAAACATCGGACATCCCTCTTATCACATTCCCAATCATTCACACTTGAATTGCTTTTAAAATGAAAACCACCCACCCATCACCCACCACCCATCCCTTTACCCACAGACACGTCGTTCTGTGACTACTGAGTTTTCAGCAGAAATGACTTTCTCTGTCCCTCACAGTAGGTTGTCCTATCCTGTGACTTCCCCTCAGCCTTTTCGTCTACTGCAAGGATCATGTCACACTGGTTCTTTTGGTGCACATTGTGTATTAAAACCTGGAAGTAAAGAGCCATTAGTTGGGTCACTGGGTAAAGCGGGTCTCTGCTTTCTGTGCTTTGGAAAGTGGCAAGGATCTTACTAAATCACCTGTCACAGACACACAAAGGTAAGCATTATGACATTGACCTCTCCCACAGATCCTTGCCACTGGGTTAGCGCCAATTTCTCAGAGGCTGTTCCTGGCTGCATCAGTCTAAACTCCTGATGGGGACTGGTCCAGGCAAAGCCACTGGGACTATCTCCATCCTCTCTGTGAGCCTGGGTGACACGTCCCAGCCCCTCAGATGCTGTGATAATCAGGCTGCCAGCTCTCTCCTCTGCCTTCTCTACCAGAGTAATCAATAACTGTAACTGTTTCAGATTAGAGCTAGGCTCTGCTCACTTCATAATGTGCTGTTTCTGTGTTCAATTTATAAACAAATTAAATTTAAAAGCCACCAGAAATCAGCACCAGACACTTTCAAAGTAGGCTCTAACGATTTAAAATCTCGGAGGGCTGTCTGGAAGAGTCACTCTGAGATGAGCCTTTAACAGACACTTGCTTAAACATTCTGTTAGTAGGAGACATTGTCAACACTGGCAACCCAAATCTTGACATCTGGCCAATAGCTGTTTCCTGGCCCTTTTCAAACAGCAGGTTTGTTGAGCACGGACCTAACATGCAAATTCCTGGGCTTCAGTTTCAACAGTGCTCATGTATAATAACCGTTTCCCCTCAAGAGGCAAGGCAGCAGTCTTACTAAATCCCTCCAGGTGCTAAAGATTCAGGGATAGGAACAGTCTCCTGACGATGGCCTTCTGGGAACCCCCAAAGTGACGCAAGAAACAAATGCCCCTTGCCTGTCTGGAGACAGATAGCTTCGGGGTCTATAAGCCTCACCCCTTTGAAGAGCTCGGATAACTCACTGGAGTAAGGACAGGAATAGCATTATCCTCTTACTAACTTTGATGGGTTTATTTTTAAGCCAGTTAGCTTTAATCATATTGATTTCTCAACTCCGTTATAAAATCTTTTACCCAGGGATCTGACTTTAGGAAGACTTCAGAATTCTCTTTTCATTTTTTTTTCTCTCTTTGCAGGTCCCCTCTGACACTTTAAGTCAACAGCCCTGAAGTCATTCCCTATAAAGACACGCTTAGTACTTCCCCTCCCCCACATCGCCTTGCTTCCTCTCCTATTTCTCGATACATACCTAAAATGATAAACCCACAAATCTGAGAACTGCCAACACTGCTCGGGAAGGTAAATGTAAGCCTCTGGGGTGGCTCTTTCTTGGCAGTGTTGGAGTTTCAGTCAACAGTAGAGGACATCTTCCCACTACAAGAAACAGGTGGGGCTGAGCGGACAGCTTCTGATAAGGGGAACATCTCGCCCCCCTCCACCCTCCACCCTCTTGCCAGCCTAGAACAACAAACTGTCTTTTCCCAGGGCTCACTGGGCCTGACTGAGCTGCTGCAGAAAGCCGTCTATAAGCTGTTCCCTAAAATGGAAGGGGTCAGTTACTATCCACCTGTTATAGAAATTGTCCCGTTGTACACAGACATCCTGAACTGGCAATCGTGTCTCCTAAGCCCTGTACACACACTTGCATCAGCAACTCAAGAAAGAGCTAGTGGAGAGACCCAGGAATTCATTCTGACATGTAAACTGCTGTGTACAAAGTCCTGTGCACAATGGGAAACAGACCTCCCTCCACGGGCAAGGAATGACTCTGCTCAGAGGTCTTCAGACGCCTCATAACAACCTCAGAAGGAGGATGTGTTTCGGGCGAGTTCATGCCTCCTCTCAATTCCAGGGAGACCACCTAAGCACATCCCTAACTTTGCAGCCCCCTCTTGGCCTATCTGAGTGTTCTGTCCTCAGACTAGAGAATTTAAAGAGAAAATGCACACCCACAGCCCCAAGTATGTGAGAGACGCCATAACTCATTCTAGAGGAGAGACATCTGTGCTAAAAGAAAAAGCACGTGAAAACCTTCATATTCTGCCCTGGCATTCAGCTGCTCTCTCCAAAACCTTTCTAGACAGTTGCTTCATTTTAACTCCTGTCCATGAGCAGACAAAATAAACTAGCTAAGACAGAGATCATGCAGACAGCTGCCTCAGTGGGACCTAGATTTTTAGAGGTCTTCAGCAATCTTACAACATGGCCTCTCCCTCCCCTGAGCCTACAGAGGAAAGCTCCACGCACACACCTCTGCCTGCTGCCAGGAAATACTCAGAGGGCCTATCGGCCCCAAACACCCTTCTGGGAAAAGGGAATGCTTTATTTTACCCAGCCCAAAAAAGCATTATGATTAATTAGAAAGCATGTGCTCAAGAGAAGGCTTCAGCCAACCTTTCTAAGGTGGGGGGGCCTGGCCCCCAGATCTGGAGAAGGGAATAAGCAGGTAGAAGCAATGTTGTTTTCTAAGATCTGGGGCATGGTAATGAAAGTTCAGTTTTCAAAATACAGAGACCCCCAGAAATGTGACTTCAGTCCAGTCTAAAGATATAGTTGGATACACACACACACACACACACACACACACACACACACACACACACACACACACACACACGTGCAGCATGCACCGGTTCCTCCCTGAGAGCTGACTGTCACTCCCAGTGCTGGAAGGAAGCAACGCTCACCAGGCTCCCCTGCATAGCTGCTGAGCACTCATGGCTGTACGGCTTTTTTTTTTTTTCCTTTGAGTTTATCAAAAGGAAATTCCAGGAAGTCATGGCATTGATCAGCCAATGATAATAAGTAGTAATAATATCAAAAGTAATCCCTCCCTAGGAAGCAAATGTTCATGTTTATAGCTACCTGCACCAATTAGAATCACCAAATAGCGGAGCCAGAAGCAACCATAGCATTCACCGTAGCTGCAAAGGCAAATTCTAGTCGTCGGAACCAGAAGATTCCACTAAAGGTCACTTCCAGTACAGACTGAAAATAGTCCCAATCTTTTTTTTTTTTTTTTTTTGAATCAGCATTCCTCATACAAGCTAAATGAATATAACTGCCCCCACAAAACATAACAGTTTTAAAACAACTATCTGGTATCCTAAAACCAAAGGTCACTTTCATATTTTAACTCCCTACCACTTTGAAGTTGCAGTCTTCACTCCCTTCCCCCAGCACCACACACACACACACACACACACACACACACACACACACACACACACACACACAGATGTCAAGGCTAAATATACCCATGGAGCCACCCTCCACAAGCTAAGATAGGAAGCTGTAGCCCGTGAGACCCCTTGCCTACAGCTTCTATTGCTCACATTCCAGAATGCTAAAGAAGCTGTGCTAAGTGTCAGTGCAGACAGCAAATCCTTTTGAAGCACAGATGGTAAGTGAGAAGACTTCCCACAGGAAAAAAAAAGGATACTTCCATTCCACTATACTAATGCAGGCTCTTCGGATGGGGTTATTGAGCGATAAACAGAAGAGGGCACGGGCAGGCCGGCTGTTGGACGAGTTACCCTGTTTTTTGCTCTTGGCGTATTGCTGACGTTTTCTTTGGGAGATTGATCCTACAGGTGGAGGTGCGGAAGTGCTCATGGTCTGGGCGGCCTTGGCCTGTCTAGCAGCATCGATTGCAGCTTGCCAAGACAGGACCGTTTGCTTGGAGCTGTTCGGCTGAGAAGTTGGTCCTTCACCAGAAATAGGGAGTCTGGTGCCTCTTGCATAGTTTGCCTCTGAGGAGAAGATGAAAAGAGATTTTTAAAAATGAAAATAAAAGACCTCAATCCATATTATCTTTAGAAAGCAAAGGTGTTGCCCGTCAATAATAAAAGGAATCATTCTTGTGTTTCCATTTGAACCTCGTGTCCTATTTTTCACAAGCAGTGGGGTTTGGTCAGGCAATACAACAAGAAAAGTGCCCAGAGCTCTGCTCTGAATGTCAATCATGCAGGATCGTCGCTGCACCACACCCAGTCACATTAGTGCTCTCTCATACCTATGTCTTCAAAGAGAATCTTTCGGTGCATCTCTCTGACAAGCTGAGGCTAGTCTCAATTTGTCCCCTGTCTTCTCTGACTTTGAAAACACATGTATCTCTCATGGTCTAACAGATATGCACAACTGCCTTTCTCTGAAATTAATTACTAACACACACGCAGCCAATAATTCAATAGCCTTAACCATTTTTAAGGTGTTCCTCCAACATCTTTCCACAGCCACAAATGTTTTTTTTTTTCTACATGGAAAAAAAAAGTCTTCACTGGCACCAGGCAATACCAAAAGCCCCATAACAAATATCTAGATTATGCACTAACACTTCCTGCAAATGAAAATTCATGATGCTTGGGACTCATTTCCTCCACAAGCTTCCGAAAACAGAAAAACATCTTTAGGGCTTTTTTGCATTTTAAATTGCAGCAGCAGCAGCAGCAGCCAAGCCAGCATCCAGTCAGCCTGCATCCCTACACCTAAGAGACAGGATGCATTATGCCAGGGAGCCTCAAGGCCTATGCGAGAATTATCTCCTTGCTTGGAGCTGTTGCAGAGTAGCATCCAGGTACACACAAGGCGAAAACCCAAGGGGGCCTCCATGTGTGAAGCTCCCCTCCCTGTGCGTCAGGCCATTCCTCGGAAGGTCTCACAGGTGCCCACACTGGGCCCCCATCGCCTCTGCTAAAGCAGAAGTCCAAGTAAGAGTGGTGGCGGAGAGGTTGGAGGGATGGGCGTTTGCAAAACCAATTATCTCTAAGTAAAGAGTCAAAGCAATCACAGGTCTCCTGCCCGGCAAGCCTGAGACAGAAGCAAAGCAGGCAGGCAGCACACAATCTGAGCTCAGCGACTAGTCTTGCCAAGCTTTGCCTTTGAGAAGCGCTCACCGGGAAAGGCGTCAAGCATACCAGGATTGGAAGATGCCAACGACCTCCAAAGAGGGAGGCTGGTCAAAAGCCACCCCAACCTCCCTAGACCCAGCCCCGCTGGTGTGGAAACTGCACGTGGTGCTGTGGCGGCCAGGCTGAGTTGCAGAGCCCCACAGCGGCAGCGACTCTCTGGGCATTGCTAGGTTACGGACGTGTGCACAGGAGGCGCTGGGAGCGGGAATACACACTCCACCCGACCCTGTTCCCCCATATCCCAAAACCTGGGCTTCTCTCAAGAAAGGTGGTACGTTTACTTTACCATACGACCCAGGGGGTAAAAGTGGAGCAACCCTAGAATTTTCCTGATGCTACTAGGGACCTTCTTCTTGGTCAACCAGGGCCGGGGGAGGAGGGGAAGGAGAGAAGAGGCTGGAAAGGGGGCTCAGGCTGAAGACTAACACCCATCGCTCGGGGGGGGGGGGGGGGGGGGGAGGGGGGGGGGAATGAAAGAGGAAAGTTGAGCCCGAGGACAGTGAACCTGAATCCCCTGACTCGCGCCCCTAGGCTGCACATTACTCCACACACCCAGAGGCCGCCCCCACCCCAACAAATGCAGAATTAACTCTGACATTCAGGGCCTGAAGGGGGAGAACGGAGTAGCTGCCGCGCATCTCCCCGTTCTATGTAGATGACACCAAGCCAGAAGCATCATCTCCAACCCCCTCAACCCACCCAGCGCATGGGAGATGGCGGGGGGGGGGGGGGGGGCGTTGAGAAGAGGAGGATCATGATAGGATGAGGTTTAGCAGCGGGTACCCGGGCTCTGGCTGCTCACCGTTCGCGTGGTCCTCTTGCTGCTGCCGTTGATGCTGCATTTTCTTCATCATCATCATCATCATCATCCACGAACATTTATTGAGCGCCTACTGTGTGCAGGGCACTATGCTCAGCGTTAGGGAGGGGGAGGAACGGGTAAGGGGGTTACGGATAGGTAGGAGCCGCGGTCCCTGCCCTTATTTTCGCTTCAGCAGGGGGTGGGGAAGGACAGAGACAAATAACCAAAAATAAGGATAATTTATAAAAACCGCCTGCCACCCACGCTCCTTCTTTTTTCAAAAATGGAGCAAAATAAACTTTTTGTAAAAAATAAAATCAGATGTATATATTATCTTAATAATATATACATGTAATCTTTTTTTTTTTTTTTTTTTTTTTTTTGCTGCAAAGGAGAATTGGCTTGGTCCCCTCCTCTAGCGGAGGGACGCCGCGGTGGTGCCCGCCCGGCCGCCCGGGCCGCTCGGCGCGCCCCCCATGCCTCCCGTCCGCCCGCCGCGGTGCCCGGTGCCCCGCCGCCGCCCGCGCCGCCGCTGGCTCGGGACCGCGGGCAGCCGGAGCTCACATCCGGGGACGGAGGCGCTCGCCCGCCCGCTCCGCGCCCGCCCGCCCGCCCGCTCCGCGCCCGCCGCGCCGCGCTGCACGCCGGCTTCGCCCTGGCGACGCTGCGCGCCCGCCGCCGTCCCCCGCCCTCCCCCGCGCGCCCGGGCCTCCCACCGGCCGCGCCGCGCCCCAGCTGCCGGCCTGCGGCCCACGCGCCCCCGGGGCTCCACGGCAAGCGACTCGGGCTGCCGCCACCCCCGGCCTGGCGCGGCTGACCCAGGGTTAAGCGCGCTGCAGCCGCCAGCCGCCGGGTTAACCCCCTCGGCGCCGCGCCCCTTCCCCGAGCCAGGCCCGTGGGGCCCGGTGCCTGCTGCTGGGGGCGCGGATGCGCCGCTCCTCGGCGGGGCGTCCCTGAGCGGAGGCTGCTGGGGCTCCTGGGGTCCCCTGGGCGACTTCAGGTGGTCCAGGCTCGCGGCACACCTGGGGGAGGCCCCGCCCCCCTGCCCCCCCCCCGGGAACCCAGGTGTCCGCAGGCGATCGCCGCTGCGGCATCAAAGCTCACGGTTCGCTGGCTCTGCCTGGACCAGACAGGCGTCCCCTATCCCCGCTTCCTCCAGTTTGGGGGGTGCAGAGGAATGGGGGAGTCCTGCTCTTTAGGAGCACTAACTGTCCTCGGGGAACTGCCCTCAGCCCTGGCTCCCCCTCCTCCGCACCCTCCCTCGCCCTTTGCATACGTGGCGGCGGTGGGCTCCCTCCCTCTCACCACCACCTCCACGTGTGTTTGGAGGCAGGTACAGAGACGTGACAGCCAAGGTCTTTCAAGCCACTAGTGCCGAGAGGTATACAGTGCCGCTCAAATAGATGACTCGTTTAGGAATGAAGACTTTGTTTTGTACCTTCTCGGCCTCCTGTCTGGAGTGGGGGAGGTCTACAGGGCCCAGCTCCTGTCTAGAGGGGGGAAATACTGTATCTAGTGGATGAGTGATATTTTTCATTTAGCTTTGTGCTGGCTGTTGGGAAAAGGCGTCAGCTTTGTTACTTTGCAGGATTCGATTTATTTGCCTTTGTTCGGATCTGCTTGTTCCTACTGAGTTTTAGAACGTTTGAGAACAGTGTCTTTAAAGCAAAAGGCTCAGCGTGAATTAAGAAAATAAATGTTTATGGGAAGGTGCTCCTTGCTCAAAGACGACACACTGAGCATCTTTGATTGTTGCGGGGGATCCACCTGGGAAGAATGAAGCTCCAGGGTTCTTCCTGAGAGGGGCACTAGTCAGGAAAGATGAAAACAACCATGCTTGTCTGCTTTTTTTACTTTGCTTTTTGGAGAGCGGCAAGGTTGGGAAATAGCCCATGGCCTGCTTGTAAGAGAAGCTGGCCTGAGCCACCTCACCTGTGACCGATGCTTAGCTGAAATCTAAAAGAATGCAAGATGGTTCCCCTCAACGAACTTATCCTTTGAAAGGACAGGTTTGTAAGGAAGCTCGTGTCACTATCAAAATTCCAGGTTGAAAGTTTAGCCTTTGCAGACTTATATCCCATGTCATGCTCATACCGGCCCACAGCCCAGTTCAGCAGCATTCACAGGGTACGTGTGCACTGTCTAAGCTGGGTGTTACCACGGTGAATCTGTGGCACAGCCCCTTCCTCAAGGACAGCCACCTAGTGAGGAGAGCAGAAGCCCAGCTGTAACAAGTGTGAGGAGGCGCTGCAAGGATCCTAGGGAGTCCTTGTAATTGACGACTCTGAGAAGTTTGCCCAGTTCTCCATTAACTGCTTCTTAACTGAGGACAAGGAAGGGGCGGGGGCACAGGGCAATGGAGCTATTCTGTGTGTCACCAAAATGATGGCCATAGAGCATTATGCAATTGTTAGAACCCATAGTCCTGTGCACCACAAACCTGGACCATAATATAAAGTGCAGACTTTAGTTAGTAATAACCCGTTGGTACTGGGTCAGTGGCGGTAGCAAATGTACCACATCAATACACGATGTAATAAGAGAAACTGTTGGAAACCGAGACAACAATGAAAATTCTATTTACTGTGTAAATTCCCTGTAAACCTAAGAATTTGTTTAAGTCTATTAAAAACTGCCCTAATTTTATAGGGCAGGAAGAGTGAGCTGTGGGAAGGGGGAAAGAAAGCTCGAGAGAGACTTGTGTTCAGGGTGGGAGCCCTTTGAAAACAAGCAGGTGCACAGGGTTGATGTGGACTCGGGGAGGGAGGAGTCTCAGACCCCGTGGAAGAAGGGCTGTGTGCTGGTTGGCTAACACTATCCAGGGCGCCTCTGCAGGGGGAACCCGTTTGGGAGTTTTACCTGAGAGCCAGCAGGATTGAAGTTTAGGGTTTGGATTCTACACGCAAGATACGGATGAGTTTATGGAATTGAAGTGATTCTTTTTTGTGTGTTATTCCATTTATTTATGTGTGTGTAGAAGTCACAGGACAACTGCCTGGAGTCAGCTATCTCCTTCCACCACGCGGGGTGGAGAGGGCGGGATTGAACACGGGCGCTCAAGTTTGGCATGAAATGCTTTTACCCACTGAGTCCCTGGAATTGAAGCTTTGGGATTTCAATCTTTTTGATGTCATCATCAAGTTTTGAGGATTTGGGTTTTTTGGATTTTCTGTTTGTTTTTGTTTTGTTTTGTTGTTATTTTTTTCTTTTTTTTTTTTGAGGCAGAAGTTGGGTTCTGGGTTGTTGTTGTTTTGTTTTGTTTTTGTTTTCCCATTCTACACAGTTCTGCATGCTTTGGCCCATTTGAGTAATTTAAATATACTTATATTCCCATGATAAGGTAAATTACTGGGAAAATAAGTAGTAGCTAATATTTCTGAAGGTTTTCTGTATTTCTTGTTCTATCACTGGTACTTTGCTTGTACTGGCTCATTTCATTCCCATAATAAGCCTGTAAGGAAAAGACTAAATTCTCAGACTTTGCACATGACAAAAGTGACACCTGGGAGTTGAGCGACTTGTCCCAAACCACACAACTGAGGCAATAAGACCTGAGGAAAGGCGGGATCGAAAGACAGCTACTCTGGGATCCTTGTGGAGGGGCGATCATTGCCTCCAGTAGTGTATGAAACAGTCAGCCCACCAAGCTCCCCTGGATAGTTCCAAACTCAGCCTCACAGAGGGTTCTGGTTAAAATCAGAAAGTGCCAACAAAGACCAAAAAGGCCTGAGTGTGACTGAAGGGGCCTATGGGGAGGAGACTAGGCCACAGGAAGAGGAGGAAGACAGTGGAAGTCAGGACTAAGAAAAACAGAGTGCACTATTCACATGAAATTGTCAGAGTTAATTTTATCAATTTTTAATGCAAAAAAAATAGATGTTAGTTCTAAACCAACCACATGTGCAAGCACTCAGCTGTATCACTAGCCCTCTGATTCAGGGTAGTTTTCACCATGCCTTTGAGATATAAGACATTCCCACTTCAGGGCATAAAGCTGGCATTGTAAATGTGGCCATCTATATGCACTCCATCTCAAAGCTCTGTCCTGATCCCAGCATGACCTCAACAACCTCATCCCTTCACAAACTAGACACCCCGTCGACTCTGTCCTACCTCTCACAAATTCTCCATCTTGTGTGCAGAAACCTCATGTGACTTCTCTACCCATAAAATGCCCCTCCTCTCCCACTACATCCAGCCTAAACTCCTGTGACCAGCTTTCAGCCTAGCCTTTCGCACGGTTCACCTTCACTGTGGTCAGCAGTCTCCTCATTAGGCCGTGAACATGCTGTGCTCAATTCTGACTCTGCCTTGGCTCAGATTTATTCACTGACCTGAAATCCCTGCCTTGCTGACCTCTAACTAAACCCTCCCTATTTAACAAGCCTCAGTGGGGTCTCTATTTCCTACCAGAAGCCTCTAGTGACTGTTCCAACCACCTACCCAGTGGTGAGCCCCCCACCTCCCACCCCTTCCCTAAAAGCCTAGAGCACCAGTTATTTCTTTGGTGGTATGGCGATTCCTTTGGGACTGTAAATCCTGAGACTCCAAATACAATTCAGGTCCCTAAGAAAGGATCCTCTCTGAGCCCCCTCCTCCAACTGCTGAGTGTTGTGCTCACAGCAGGTACTAAATATTCTGATTAATTTTCATGGCATCATAAAAGCTCATAGATGTCTCTAGAAATTGTCAGCTAATATTTACTAAAATCCCATAAAGTTTATTGCAGCAACCTCGGCCCTCCGATGGTAAAAATATGAAATAGAAAATCGGGTCCTTCGCACACCAGGAAACCTAATTAAGGGAGACAAGCAAATAGATCCTGAAGGCTATATGCGGAATATATCCGTAAACACACTGGGAAGCTGGATCTGAATGAGTCTCTCCACCCACAGACCCTGGTGCAGAGAGAATAGCCCTGACCTACTAACCACCAGAAGAGGAAATGAAGTAGTTTGGGGCCCTGTGTCCCAGTGACGTAAGCAAAGTTGTGAACATGTGCAGAAATCAGTAAGCAGGCAGCTAGCTGGGACCTCGCAGAGCTTAGGGTGGTAAGATGCAAAGCCAGGGCCAGGGTGAGGCCTTCCGTAGACGCGATAGGGAAAGGGTGGACCCTTTGAGTAGACCTTTCGGATAACACAGGGGTACTATCGCTTGCTGTGACACCAACTCTTACTTTCAAAGGTTACTTGAAATACGGTATTTGAAACCCTATTTTACTCTGCTACATTAAAACGTATGTCTATATGGCAGTTTGAATGGCTCTCTTACCTACCAGTGGTTTGGTAATGCCATGCATTGGTCATTAGGAAAAATACTGGTTCACTGAGATACACATTTTCCAAATGTCAACA